ATCACACTTTACACTTTTTAAAACACCCGCTTGATAATAATCATACTTTATATCAAAATATATATGCCCAACTGAAAATCTTTTTCCACACATTTAAATTGAATATTCGATAGTAACCATTTTACTTATCCTAATGTGCCACTATTTGAGCCACATTATTTTTTTCATTCTCATTCTTCTACTCATTTTCAACCACGCATTCTTCGATAAAATAATATTTTTCATCACATCAATAATTTTCCCTTTTTTTTCAACCACATATTCATCATCACATCAAACAAAAAAATGCATTATTGGACTCAAAATGTGCACCGAACAGGGTTATGTCGATGACAAAATGCACTCGTCCCGCCAGGAAATTGGAGCGAGAATGCAAACTGTGTTTGCCACCTCTTCTATTTTATATTTTTTATATTAGTTTCATGTGTTATTAGTTTAAATCGTATTTTAAAAAATAAAATAAGCATAATGGAAATTGAGTTTTTATACGGGTCTTCAAACCCGCCCGATTGATGGATTATTATAAAATAAAAAATACAAATATTGGGTTCTTGGTTTTGAGTTTGAAAAGTTAAAGCGCGCCGATTTCCACTCAGGTATTCTGTGTATGATCTGTTCTTTTTTCTTTTGGTTATCACGTTTAATTTTCGAGAATTTGGAAAGTTTTCCCTTAATAAATTTTTAGAAATACTCCACTGACTTTGATTCCTAGAAATATATCACTCTCCCTTTCTCGAGGACAAGTGTCCAGAGAATGGATATTGCTAGGCAGTTGGGGTGGAGGGAACGAGAGTTTAGATTTTGAATGAATTGACGATCATAGAGGCGGAGAATGACTGGTGGGTAAAGTTCGGGTGTTCTTGTTCGATGAAATGCCGCTAAGAAGTTTTTATTGAGGATGCAAGCCGGAAGGGTTTGTGGACTATTGGTTTTTTAGTGGGAATTTGGCAAGATTGGGATTACGTTTTATACTGGGTTTCTGCGATACTATGAGTAATAGGTTTCTGCTTTTAAGATGTCCTGTATAATTCAAATTTTCTGCCCTCTAGTTGGAGAGGGGAGGGGGTGGCAGAGGGTACTGGAAGAGAGATCAGTGAATTTGCAATTTGGTATGCAAATTTTGTTTGCACAAATGGGTTTCAAAACAATTGGATTTGACAAATCCGTAGATATAAAATTCTTTCTCCATTCCAAATCCATGGATCCAGTTGCAACCTTAAATTCACTACTCTCAAATCTTTGCATATTGGAAAAGTTTGAGATGCTTGTCATTCTGTATGTTCCGTTTAACTTGAGTTCTTTCAAGTTGGTGGCAATTGTTTAGTGTATCTCAAGTATAAAAATGATGGTGGCAATGTTGATGATTTGTCATTATGGATTGTGGTGGAAATTTCAACAATTTGTTATTATTCAAGATTGTGCACAACTTTTAAGTGTTATTGAACTTTTAAAAGCATGTTTTGTAAAATATCCTGTTATGATTTTGCAGGGGACAAGAAAATGAAAGTCAAGATTTTACGTATCCTTTATATGTGACTGCATAATTAAATATTCCTAGTCAAGAATTCAAATTTTGGCTGTGGTTCTGGATATCTATAGACAATTGAATTATTGGATTACTAGAAGCTCTACCTAATCATTTGAGATATGATTTAATCCCCTGGCATAATTTTGCTTTAATTGCATGATTTGGTGTGATACTAACATTCATAATCGCTTTTTTACATTTGCATGACTTAGGTGCAAGCCATAGAGTGTTAGATGGGAATAAGCCAGTAATTTATAGTAAAATGTAATGTTGAAGTAGACTTCCTGAAGCTGATTAGAGCTTGTGTATATGATCTGTCGGCAAATGGAAGGCAAAAGGTCTGAGGTCTTTACACTATATGCAGGTCTATAATTTTCTAGTTGTAGGGAGGTAGCTTATTTTAGAACTTTCCAAAAGCGTCTCCTAATTACGCGATGAAAATCCAGCACTTCTGATTTGCTGTTCATCAGGACTGAAGGTTTATTTGGATGCTTTAAAATGATCACCGGGCTGACTACAACATGGAAAAGTTTATCAAAATTGTTCTACCCGTCAATTTTTAACATCTTAGGACTCTTCATTATGTGATAGGCTAATATCACATTTAATCAGTTTTGTTGAAATTGAAGCTGCTTTAGGTACAAAGTTATTTTGCTTTTGAGACCTGTGAGAAATGGTTTTTCTTGACCCAGTCATTCATGGATACTGTTGGGCCTGATGGACAGAGTATGCTCTTTAATATCACTTCTAACTTGCTGTTTTTCTGGAATTTTAAATTATATAAGGAGATGAAATGTTGTTCTTTTAATGAATCACAGATGGCATGCTGTTGCTTCATGGACATGGGATGCCCAAGACGAAACATGTGGCATTTGTAGGATGGCTTTTGATGGTTGTTGCCCTGATTGCAAACTCCCAGGGGATGATTGCCCTCTGAGTAAGTCTTAGAAGCTTTTGCCAGTTTTTCTATGTTTTGATCTATAACGATATATGATTCTCGTGAAATAAAAGGTCCGCTTTCTGTGCCTTCCAGTCAGCTTACTCGCTATCTTCACTTATTAAATTTTTTTTTTTTTTTTAATCTGCTTTAGTTACATGCTTTTCTATTATTTTTTTCGGTTTTGTACTTTTGAGTTTTTCAGAAACTATGTTGTTGCCATTCTTAGAATGGTAGGAGGGCATATGATGATATGAAAATGTTTCAAGGCATCTTTTACCTCAATAAGGACTCAAATCACCTCGTCAGAATAATTAGTTGAGGCCTCCTCCTTACAATTTTTTTTTTCTTTTTTTTTTGAAGATGTATAATTAATGTGAATGTGAATTTCTTTACCTTGCATCACTAGGGGTAAAAAGGATGGCCAGATATATGAAGTTAATTTTTGCAAATTTGATGTCAAATTTTGAAATTCTATGGTTATGCTTTGCAATCTCTGCGAGATAGTCATAATTGCCCTCACAGCTTATAAAACGTCAGAATAATAGGTCATATATCCCTCCCCCAACTTTATGTTGATGCAAGGACAGGTATCCTTGTGGTTAGAAGTGGTTAGTATCGGGTGCTTGGACATTGACTGGAGGCATGTTCTCTACTTATTGCCCCCTGAATGGTACATGAGCTGCTATGTTCTTGAGCAAACACATAACCATGTTTTGTGAACCCAGTCTCCTGTGTCGAAATGACAGTACAAGAGTAGTCATAAGTTACTAAATCTAATGATTAACACACACACTGGCCACTGTCGGGTTAGGTTTGCATGTTTGTGTATTCATGCCCAATGCGACACTTTGACCTTGAGCCTGCTGTATAGACCAGAAACTTTTGTGATACAAGCCTTGAGTTTTAACTCGCAAATTTGGGGACGAGAGCGAAAGCGAGATCTTAAAAGTAATGAAATGAATTTTTTGAAAGTAGACATGGCTGAGATATGTCATTGTCTTCATATCTGCATGTGTATTGTAGTTGGGGGGAGCTAACTCCTCGCATCAATGTCTTTTGTCATTCAATTTTTGCCACGCGGACAACTACTTGTTGTAACTTGAGATAGCATTCATTTTTCTTGCAATCGAATGTTAATTGCTCTCTTGTTAGCTTTCTTTCTGGTGTATGAGAGCCAATAAAATTTTGCTGATAACTAACTAATCTGTTTCGTAGTGCAGTCTGGGGTGCTTGCAACCATGCCTTTCATCTTCACTGCATCTTGAAGTGGGTGAATTCGCAAACTCCTCAAGCACATTGTCCCATGTGCCGTAGAGAGTGGCAATTCAAAGGATGAGAAATCCACCTATATGAGTTGTTCTTCCCCCTTGCCTTCGTCCCTTACTCTCGACCCCCTCTCCCCGTGTCAAAAGGACAGGGAAAACGAATTAAATGTTCCTTTCTTTTGTTCTAATTTAGAAAGTATTTTGGTAAAGACAATTGGTACGAGTTCTTGAACTGTGAAATGTTTATTTTTTCTATTTTATGCAATTTATCCCTTTCTTTCAAACAATAGTGTGGGCCTTGTGGCTAAAATGTCTTGGGCCGCATCTGTATTGCTGGGAAAGTGTTTACAAACGATAGTGCTGATGACAAGATAGAATCGAACGATGGAACGAGTAGAACTCGTAAATTTTACAAAATGTTTTAAACGAAAAATAGTTTGATCAAAAGTATTTATAATAGTGCCGACCCATCATAGTTGGAAACGAATGGAATTTTGGAAAGTTGGTTCTTTCCGATTGTCCCCATCACACGTTTAATTTTATCTCCTACCCAAGTTTGTGCTGGACAAATTGAAAATTGATTGTATGGTTTCTTATAAAAATTTATAAATTGAGCCAAAGTCTCAAAGCTAAACATTCATTTCAATTATATGATTTGACTTATTACTCATTTATAACCTACAATCACTATTATTCATCTTTAGAGTAAATTAGCACCCGTTTGGTTCCCATTAAAATTATAATTCATTTTTCCTTTAATAAAATAATATTACACGTAAATTCAAAACAATTTCTTCTTCTTAACCACACATTTAAAAATCCCATCTTTATTGTACAAAAACATATACAATAATAGTTAGTGCAAACAAGACAATGTACAATATGAATTTAAATACTCAAAACGTTATTTAAAATTGAATGAGATAAATTCTACCGTGAGTATCAAAAATATTATTGACGTCCTGTTGATTATAAGTTGCGTTTGTATTGCGTAGGTCGATATTTAAGACTAATTATTTTTTTAAAAAAATTCAAATATTCACTAAACCAAACAAATCATATAAAAATGGTAAATGATGATACACAAACACTTAAAATAAATAAATTACTGCTTCTGGAAGTTACATGATAAACCAAATGAAGACATTAACAAAGATGACTCGATGATGACAATACACATATGTAAACGACAGGACTGAAGAAATCTAAAAACGCCAAACTATCAACACCATCCAGCCAAAAAGGCAAAAAAGTTTATTACCACCTCTCTTCTTCACCTGTCAAAAATATCAGGAAAAATAATTATTATTTATCATGATCTTGGACCACCCACAATTAGACTGATGAAGCTCTCCAAATTATTTTTGGAATAGTTAAGATTTCTATGACTAAACTGATAATTTATTGAATTAAACCAAATGTACGGGATAGAGGTTCACAGAACCCCTACAGTCTCTCACATGAGGTAGAACCTATGTGCGAGTTATCGAAGATGTGAAACCGTAGATGAAGTATAATTGTAATTTGAAATTTTCTACAGAGACTCACATGGGGGTGGGTTCCATGTGAATTAAATATTACCATAAAAAATGAGGCCCACCTCATGTGTGTATTCTGTATAGTTTCTGTTTTTTTTTTTTCTTCTGTACATATAGAAGTGTTCTCGTAGTTTATTAGATAAGGGTGCGTGGGTAGGTGAAAATTTTACCAAGAGTTGTTGGATGGGATCAGTTCTTGGTGATGGCATAGATAGCATAAATGATTCCAGGGAGGTAACCGAAGATGGTCAGCAGCAAACAGATCCAAAATTCAACCTGTGTAAAATTTGTACTTAAAAATCTGATAAATACGGATTATTCTCTCTTTTCTCGTAAAGAAAAAAATGTACCTGGCAGCCATATTTAAGGAAGACGCCTAGAGGAGGCAAGAGAATAGCCACAAGAATGTCGATGCAAGTTGCTGTACCTTCATCTGCCATTGCTGCCTGCTTCAAATTTTCAGAACCCGAGATAAATTATGAAATATCAGTTCAAATTTCAAATTGTGAACTCAACTGTTAGATAGAGGGCAGATTTATAGCCGCAGATGAGTGATTATACTATGGAATGGACGCGTGTTACGCACTGATTTGGGAATATATTTTTCAAGTTTGACAGTTTGGCACTGCAGATGAATTGTTATACTATGAGTGGGCACGTGTTATGCACTGATTTGGGAATATATTTGTTATGTTTGACAGTTTGCCATCGGAGATGAGTGATTATACTACGGAATGGACACGTGTTACGCACTGATTTGGGAATATATTTGTTATTTTTGACAGTTTGCCACGTGCCAAACTGTCATTCGTCAATTTGAAAAACACTTTTTACTGTCATGATCTTTTGAAAATAAAGGCAATACCAAACTTGGTATAATGGCAAAATCCAATATTTTTGCATGACAATTTGCGTTTCCTTGGAATTGTGAAAAACAACTTTAGGCCGTGTTTGATTTGATAATTTTTTCACGGAATTTGAAAATGAAATTTCATCTTCCACCAAAACTCATGTTTGATTGGAAAAGTTTTCTTGACAATTCATTTTCCATCTTTTGCCTCACACGGTTTCAATTTCATGGTTTTGAGGAAAATCAATTCCCACCAATTTGGTGGGAGTTGGTTTTTCAGACTACTTTTTTTTATTATTATTATTATTTTTGACAATAAAAACAAATTTTATCCCCAATTGTAACAAATTATATTTCTTTAATGGACAATTTTCATGTAAAACAAAATCAAACGAATATCAAAAGATCTAAAATTTTAATATTTTTCACGTAAAAAATTATACTAATCAAATACAATTAACTGACATTCACAGGAAAACAATTCTAAACAATTCAATTATCTGAAATTCATTTTCTTTCCACCTAAATTCAACTCTGACAATCAAACGACCCTTAACCTTTGGTTTTTAATGAGGCCACGTTTGCATGTGCTGACTTTGGATTGCCCGCGTGGTCCCGGGATGGGTTTGCTTTTAATTGACTTCACTCACAGACGCGTTGACTTTAACGTTCCCCTCCACATGCTTGTCTAATTAAATATAATAAAAAGTAATAATATTTTTATACTTAAGATTTAGAGAAATAATTTTGTAAACAGTTTATAATTTATAGAGTAATGGATGCAAACGTCCATGCCGAATCGTTCTTATCATTTTAATTTTGATATTTGGACCATCAGATCAATCAAACCATGCACAAATCGATCATGCTGCCTAATTATGTCAATTTCTTCCTTTAAATTGGCGCATGATCTCCACTCAGCACACTTGATAATATGTAATTTGGTATTTTCAATTTAATGTATTTTTCCCTAATGTAATCATATTTTTTGAAACATCTTACTCTCCCACAATGGTGACATTGGCAGTGACGATCAACGTCGATCGATTGATCGGTCTACTCGTAGGAGACGTTAAATATTCTTCCTTTTCAGAGGTTGTCACACTACCTTCGACTAAAAACTTAACGTTTTTTTGCCTCAGATTCTACTCGAACTCTACTAACACTTCAAGCTCTAGATGCATCTCTTTTGACTTCTCCATTTTCTTAACCTTCCTCTCCATCCTCTTAAGCCTATATTGCCACCATATCCATTTGGGATCTACCTCACTTGGATCATCAAATGCTCGTTGCCCACAAGGCATATCTCCAAGTGGTAAAAGGAGAAGGTGGAAAAACTACAGCTTTGCTTGAGGCTGCTGCGTCAAGAGTTCAAATCCTGAAATATGGATTTGGCCCTTGAGTAAGTACAATTGTACAAGCAGCCTTCCACCCTGTACTCTTGGAGGCATAACCTGCGATTTATCTCCTTCACCAAGGCCCAGGGCAGGGCAGGGCAGGTGGGGGCCGCTAAGGATGCGGTTCACCCCTTCATCAAATGCTCGTTCAAAATTGTAGTATATTGGGACTTCATACTTCTTCCTCGGAATAGCCACCGATTTCACCATACTCACCAGATTTTCGATTATCTCAATATGAACAAGGTCCATCATTCAATCTTTATCCCAGGAAAATAGTTTTTGAATGCCAATGGAATCTACAATCTCTTCTCTCAAGTTAACAATATGTGAATGTTGATCATCAAGATATTACCGAACCAATTTTCTATCACAATTTCACTCCCCATCCCACATATTTGATAAACGTCAAACTTACATTTACCATCCATTGATCTGAATAAAATTTTGCAAAATGAATAACTTAGAAATAAAATTCAAAACCCCACACACGCAAAAATGTTGAGAATTAGAAACCCTAATTTTATACAATCACGAGTAATAAAATCGTAAAAATGAAAAGATTTGCTTCAATGTGATATTACATCATCTTTTGTAACAAAGTAACTCACTATGATAAAAAAAAAAACTGACGAGGAAATTTGCGCAACCTATAATATGTAACCTTGCTCACTTTTATTGATGACAATATCAAACCTAAATATGATTTTCTATTTATAGGATAAATTAGGGAAAAAATCGGAATGACAAGTGTAAAATTCATAAATTATTCTTAATGATATTTTGGTATAGGGGCTCCACTCCCCGCATCCTCGGGAGTAGGTTTTCTATCCAATTTCGAACCACCCTCACAACGACCTTATCATAATGGTCGATCAACGTACCGGCACAATAGAACGACAATAATTAAATTCCATAATTTAAGAAAATCAGATTAACAGAAAAATACATCAATTTGAAAGTAGACTCATCAACAAAGTACAACCTCCATATCAATTTGGGAGTTAAAAAATGCTGAAAGAACCTCAAATGGAAGCTTTTTGCAAATGTCCTTGACTTAATTAAAGACGGTTTTTATTTGGGTTGCAAAGTCGTTAATGACGGAGCATGTGGTTGTTGTTTTAAGTTTTTAGTTCTAGAGGTCTATGAACATTGGGTTATCGACAGATGGTTTATTATAAGGGAGTGGGCACCAGATGTGTAGATAGTTAGTCAACTAGCAGCGGGCCCGGCCCTGAGGCGAGGCAAATGAGGCCACCACCTCAGGCCCAAACGTGGAGGTTGCC